TTTATTTTTACCATTGCAGTGATGATTAGTTTCTTCATAGCAGCCCAGATTTCCTGTCTCCACCCTATGCTCCTTTAGGTGATATGAGATGGGCGTAGCATTGTGTTTGAAGGTACACTGCATTCTGCTCTTGTTTCTTTTCTGATTTTCTAGTCAGAACATTTACTTCTTCTTCTACATATATATATAAAATTTTTTTTGGTCCTTTTGAGACAGGGTCTCCCTTTAGCCCCACCTGGCCTAAACCAGGCTGGTTTCAAACTCACAGAGGTCTGCCGGGCTCTGCCTCCTAAGTGCTGGGACTAAAGGCTTGTGCCACCACGTCTGACACTTAATAAATATATTTTAATATAAAAAGCCGGACATGGTGGCTCATGCCTTTAAACCCAGCACTCAGGAGGCAGAGGCAGGTGAATCACTATGCATTCAAGGCTAGCCTGGTCTACATAGTGAGTTTCAGGCCCAGTCAGTGCTACATAGTGACACCCTGTTTTATAATCTATATATACTATATAGATTATATATACATATGTAATATATATGCTGCATTTGGGATTGAATCCTGGTGTCTTGTTCATGTTAGGCAAGTAGTCTACCACTGAGCTGTATCCTGACTCCTCTTTACCTTGGATTGCCTCTATTGGCATCCTTGAGGACAGGACTCTGATCATTTTCTTCAAGCTGGCCCTTTTCTTTTCTGTCCTTGGCTTATGACATGAACATTTTTTTTCTTTTTTGGCCTTTTTGAGACAGGGTCTCCCTGTAGCCCCAGCTGACCTGGAACTCACTACATAGACCAGGCTGGCCTTGAACTCACAGAGATCCACCTGCCTTGGCCTCCCGAGTGCTGGGATTAAAGATGTGTGCCACCATGCCCAGCCTATAACCTGAACATTTTTTTTCAAATTTCTGGAAATGGTGAGTAAATGATTTTCAATAAGGTGGCAGTAAAGTTTCACAACAGGATCACTTGAGTGTTCTCCAAAAGAAATGAATTGCTAACCCTGCCTCTCTTGCTAGTCCTTATAACACAAGTGAAATAGCATAGGCTTTATAACTTCCAGTGGTGAAGTGGTATACAGGATACAAGGGAAAATGCAAACTCTGATGGTAGCCTTAGCTAAGGCCAAATATTCCATTTTGGAATACTCTCACCATGGCTAATAGTTTAGTAATCAATTTGTAAAATGCTTCAATATTTAAAAATACTCCAAGCCTTGTAAGAGCCACTAGGATACCACAGAAAATGGGAATATTAATCATGGAAAATATCTGGGAGCTTTATTTTCTTTACTGGGTTTTTAATTTCAAGGTTGCATATATATTAGGCAGATAAGACTCATTGACTACCAAATGTCTGGAAACTTAGTAACATGGTGATGATCAAAATTTCTCTTTAATCTATCTACTTCATTGAATCTATCATCTTCCTACCTTTAAAATACTGGGGATTGAACCTAGGGCCTCAAGCATTCTAGGCAAGTACCCTACCACTGAGCTACAGCCCCAGATCCCAGTCCCCTACATCTCTCTCTCTCTCTCTCTCTCTCTCTCTCTCTCTCCCCCCCCTCCCTCCTTCCCTCTCCTCCCCCCTTACTCAACGTATTCATATGAACAAACAGAAAATATGCAACAAAGTTATACATTTGGGGTAAAATTGAAGTAAATTTGTATCTTAAAATGTGTCTGCATATTTTCATCTATTTTCCATAAAGTTCCCCACCCTCTTCTTTCTTTTTTGGTACAGGGTGTCATGTAGGTCAGGCTGGCCTTGAACTCACTATGGAGGTGAAGCTGGACTTAAACTCCTGACCTTCCTGCTTCTACTTCCCAGGGACTGGGATTACAGATGTGTACCACCACATTCAGAAAAAAAAAATGTTCACAGAACTTTACTCACATAATTGGAAGACACACCCTACAGAATGTGTGGCAACACATTTAAACCACCTCAATCACTGTGAATAATTAAGACACTAGACCAGCATGCAGCACAAATTCAACCAATCATTGTTGCTACTAATCCACAAAATGACTTTCAATTTTTTTGAAGTTCAAATTATTTTTTCAAATAAATTTTAATAAAGATGTAAAATATTTTAATAAAGATTTCTTTTCTAAAGATTTCTTTTTTAAAATTATGTGTCTGTGTGTGGGTATGTACAGGTGCCCAGAGACGCAAAGGCAGATATCTGATCCTACTGCAGCTGCAGTTACAGGCAGTAATGAGCTGCCTGATGTGGGTCCTCCGCAAGAACAGTATCTCTCTTCACTGCTGAGCCATCTCCCCAGCCCTGCAGTTCAAATCTTTTTAAAAAAATGCTCTTATGCCATTGAATGCAGGTTACTAAAAGTAATGAGTGCCTGAAAGGAGGCAACAGAGTAAACACCAACATGCCAAATGAGTCCAATCCTTCCCCAGTAAAACCACTGGCTACCTCTCAAGGAAATGGGCTTTGCAATCCACTGAGATTTATTTAAAATTTTTTTTCATTTATTTTTATTTTACATATATAGTATTTTGCATGTATGTATGTTAAGTGTACTACATGTGTGCAGTGCCTTCAGGGGCTGGAGGAGGGCATCAGATTCCCTGGAACTGGAGTTATAGACTGTTGTTAGCTACCATGAGGGTGCTGGGAACTGAACCTGGGTCCTCTCCAAGACCAGCCAGCTCCTTAAATTGCTGACCCATCTCTTCAGCCCCTCCACTGTCTAAAAACCAGCAATACTAGTATCACTTATAAGATACTTAGAGAAGAGCAAACCCTACTTAGTTGCCAGTTTTTCCTCATGTTCACCTCAGTCACAGTCACCAAATATGGCGGTTTCACTGGGATTTTTTCTTCACTAATAATTTCCAAAACAACTGGATAGTTTGTGACTGGAAACTTGAAACGTTGAACCTAAAATAAGAATTTCAAGAATACATGTAAATTTGGAAAATTCAATAGTACTTTCGTAAATTTGGAAAATTCAATAGCACTTTCATTTCCTGGTTATGAAGTGAATGATGTTTTCTCGGCAGTTTGGCTATTCTAATTGGAATGCATCTTAAGAGTTTCTGCCTTTCAGAGTTGAAGAAAATTCTCTCAGAACAAAATCCATCCAAACTCCAAAGGCATCTGTCCAAACTCCATCCCAAATCCATCCAAACTCCAAAGGCAGCATACAAACATCGTGGTAATAAAATTCATGTTAAAAAATTAATGCTTAAAGTCAGCATATGAAGTGACGGGTCTCCTTATGGCACTTTCTTGCATGTATCATTTACTTCCTTTGTATTCACATTGCCCCATCTCCAGCCCTCCTCACCCTCCTCACCCTCCTCAAACAATCTCCCTTCTGCTTTCATGACATGGGAATTTTCTTACCCACTTCTCACTTGAGATCTCCTCCTCCTCTTTTATGGTCCTCCTTCTACTTCTATGACTGCCCCTCCTCCAAATATAAATTTAAATCTAGATTCTATGTTTGAGGGAAAATGTAACATTTGTCTTTCTAAGCCTGGCTTGTTTCACTTAACACAATGATTTCCAGTTCTATCCATTTTCCTGCAAATGTCATGATTTTCATTCTTCTTTCAAGCTCAGGGACCAGCAACCTGGCTCCACAGGTAAAGGTGCTTGCTGCCAAGCTGACAAAATGAGTTTGATCCCCAGGGCCTACGTAGTTATTTATTTTTATTTTATTATCATTATTATTTTTTGTCTTTTTTGAGACAGAGTCTCCCTGTAGCCCCAGCTGGCCTGGAACTCACTATGTAGACCAGGCTGGCCTTGAACTCACAGAGATCCACCTGCCACTGCCTCTGAGTGCTGGGATTAAAGGCATGTGATTTCGCCCAGCTGATTTCGTGTTTCTTTTCACCAGGAAAACAATCCATTATGTACATGTACAATATTTTCTTTTTCCATTCATCTGTTGACGGACATCTATGTTGGTTCCATTTCTTGGTTTTCCATATTTCTTTTGTTTTTGCACTAGGATTTACACATTTGGAATTAGGTCCTTGGTTGGATTTTGTTTTTTTATTAATCACCTTTATTAATTTGTCAGAGTGTTTGCAGTGTTCAAAAGGGCGCCATTTTTTTCTCTGCTGAACATTGGGCCTAGCCTCCAGTACTCTCCTGAAAATAGAACAGAGTCTCCAAGAACACTCACTATCATCTATCATCATTAAACTCCAGCATTCTAGGAAGCAAAGGACACTGATGATGGTGCTGTGTGCACTAAAATCTCACTTACTGTGGGAATGAGTGGGAGGAAGAAAGCATAAAGCAGAGCAAGACTAGTGATTAGAATTGTTTTATAGAGAAAAAAGTGGTAAGTACATAAAAGAGGAAACAGGGACGACAGGGGATGGGGCAGCTTGGGCTAAAGTTCAAATGAAAAGAGAGGCACAAAGAAACGCAATCAGATAATCTAAAAGGGTCCGGGCTTCAGGGAGCCTGAGACAGGATACCCTACAGACCATACAAACTAGCTAGCCTATGTTCTTTGGAAGAGTCTATCAAAAAGAGAAGGGGGGGAGGTGGGGGGGAGGGGGGAGGGAGGGGGAGGGAGGGGAAATTGACCTGTTAAATTGACATTGAGTGTTAAATATGAGGGGGAGAGAGCTAAATGTAGTCTTGCTGATTTTCTGGTTGTAGACTAGAATCTTTTGGTTCCTTCCCAGGATCCCAAGTGCCTGTTACATCCTTGGCCGGTCAGATTCCAGATGCTGGTCCCATCAGTGAGGGTCACAGATGTTGATCATACCTCTTGGCCAGCTTTCAGTGGTCCAGTTGTGAATGCTGTTCTTGCTTCTGGGTGGTCCCTCTGCAAGGCTGAAGTTGGGTCATAGATGCTGGTTCCATTAGTGGGTGTGTCTTCATGTTTGAGTTACCAGTGGTGGTCACATCTGTGGGAGGTCGTTCAGGAGTCTAATTGCAACTGCTGTTCCTATTTCTGAGTAGTTCTCTGTGAGGCTGGGTCACAGATGCTGGGCCCTATCTTCATGGATTGGGTTGTGAATGTTGGCTGTTCCTGGGTGATCTTTTCTGATAATTTGTGTGCCACATGGAACCCGAATCTGTGTTCCAATGCAGACTCTGGCTCTAACCTGCCTTCCAATTTACTGAGTGCTGCATGGTCATGATTTAGAGTTATTTTTTCCCTTCTGGTGGCCATGTTTCAGCATATAAATCCCATGATACTTGTTGAGATTCTTGAATCTGGTTCATGGAGGGTCTGTAGATTCCCAGCCACCAACTCAGCAGAGGCCTTTTTTTAAAAAAACTTTTTTTTTTCAGATAGGGTCTCATGTAACTTCTACCTCCACCTCCCAAGTGCTAGGATTATGGAATTACAGACATGTACCACTATTCTGGTTTATGCAGTGCTGAGGATCAAACCCAGGGCTTCATGCACTAGCACTGTAAAATCTGAGCTACAGGTTCAGATATTAGGGAAGGATCTTTAGAAAAAAATCTTTGTGGGGATGGAGAGATGGCTCAGCAGTTAAGAACACTGGTTGTTCTTGCAGAAGATCTGGGTTTGAATCCCAGCACCCACACAGCAGCTAACAAGTCTGTGACTCCAGTTCCAGGGGATTCAATGGCCTCTTCTGTCCTCCGTGGGCACTGCACGACATGGGTGCACTTACCTACATGCAGGCAATATACACATGCACCTAAAAATAATAAGTAAAATATTTAAAACATCTTCGTGTGTTTGTGTATGTGTGTGCAGGAGTCTGTGTGTGCAAGCATGTGCAGAAGCCAGAAGTTAGTGTCGAGTGTCTTCCTCAATTATCATCCCTATTATTTTCAAGACAGGGTCTTGCATTGAACCTGGACCTCACCACTTTGGCTAGACTAGCTGGTCAGCAAGATCCAGGGATCCTCCCCTTGCAGCATCCCCAGGTGAGCACCGCCACACCTAGCATTTTTATACGAGTGCCTGGGATCAAACTCGGGTTCTTTGATTGCACAGAGAGCGCTTTACTGACTTTGCCATTTTTCTACCCTGCAACCCCCTTTTTAAAAATATTTTTTAAAAATTTTTTAGAAGAAGCATTTCATTACATCTTTAACATACTCTAACAGTTTCCAGAGCAAAGATACATCTCTTTCAAAAGGGGTTATAAAATTTTTAGGTTTGCTGTTGAATTAATACAGTTATACAATATTGAACTCAGTATAAGCCCTGTAAGCCATAAAATTGAATGGGTTTTTAACCTTAAAAAAAAAAGACAAGGTCTCATATAGCCCAGGCTGGCCTTGAACTTGCTATGTAGCCAAGGCTGCCCTTGAACTCCTGATCCTCCTGCTTCCATCTCCTAAATGCTGGGTTTATGGGCATCGGCCACCATGCCTGGCTTTGAGCAGTCTACACTTAGAGCTCATCTCCCTACTACTTTCCAATAGGGCTTCTGCTTCCCCTCTCTCCTCTGGGGAGCTGTAGCTGGGGCTGTTTGACTTGGCTTCTTTTCAACTTGTCACTCATCTTTGTCTTGGCAGATCTCAGGTGTGCCATCACTGCCTTTGTGAATTTTCAAAACTTTTCTTCTGTCTTTGGAATGAAGTATGTTATTTCCCTTACTGACTTTTATCCATAACCAGGCCATGTAGAGGTAGCTTCTAGACTGCCATCTCACCCAGAAGTCCCCCAAACCACCTTTGCCGGTATTTTAAAAAGTGTCTCTCTGTAGTCACGCTGGCCTATAATTCACTAAGTAGCTCAGGCACGTTTCCAAATTCCTAGCAATCTTCCTGTCTCCACCTCCCAAGTGCTGGGATTACACTGTGTGCCATCATGTATAACTGAAATTCACTGGTTTTTGTTTGTAATTAATATAAAGTGTTTCAAACTAGCAGGGTGTGGTGGCACACACCTTTAATCCCAGCACTCAGGAGGGTAGAAGCAGGCAAATGTCTGGGAGATGGAGGCCAGCTTGGTCTACATAGTGAGTTCCAGGCTAGCTGTGGCTACAGGGAGACTCTATCTCAAAAAGACACAAAAAATGTAATTCAAGCCATATTCTATGAGGCCCTCAATGAACTGGGTCTTGCCCATCTCCCTTACCCCTTACACAAGCATGAGGCCCTGAGTCTGGATCCCCAGAATCTGTGTGAAGTCAAGAACAGTAGCATGTGTGTCTGTAATCCCATTGCTGCTACAGTGAGATGGAGGCAGAGACAGGAGGATGCCCAGACACTTGTGGATCTAGCCTTTCACATACAGTGATATATGACAAGAGACCCTCCCTCAAGCAAGATGAAAGGCAAAGACCAGAGGCTGATTTCCACATATGCACCCTGGTACACATATGAATATGCACACAGGCAAAGATAAAAACAAAGGGTATTAATATTAATCATATTCAGTAAGTTAACTCCTCTAGGTGCATCGTCAGATCCTTTTAGCTGTGTGCCACATTTAGTTTTAAGTCATAATAAACTTTACTTTTTGTCTGAGTTTTCATGGTTAACCAAAGGTCACATTTCCAATCTTATTAACAGGGAACCACTTAATTTTTTTTTGGGGGGGTCTTTTTGAGACAGGGTCTCCCTGTAGCCTCAGCTGCCCTGGAACTCACTATGTAGACCAGGCTGGCCTTGAATTCACAGAGATCTGCCTGCCTCTGCCTCCTGAGTGCTGGCATTAAAGGCATGCACCACCACTCCCAGCCCATTTTTAAAGGATATTTTATTTATGTGTATGAGTGTTTTGCCTGCATGTTAGCAATTGCACCATGTGCATGCAATGCCTGCAGAGGCCAGAAGATGGTGTCAGATGCCCTGGAACTGGAGTTACAAACAATTGTTAGCTGTGCCATGTAGAGATTGGGAATTGAACTCAGGTCCTTTGGAAAAACAGCAAGTGTTTTTAACCACTGAGCCATCCCTCCAGCCCCAGAACCACTCCATTTTAAGATAATTAAAAACCACCTTACTTTTTCTTTGCAATCTGAGAAAGCAACAGCATGTGAAGACTTCTGATCATTTGTACAATTACAGTCCTCCCGTCTAGAGACATTTGCACACTGTTTGTATTTGCCAACTTCCTGTCAACAGAAAAGATATAGGTTTACTTATTTCTATATGATGAAGGATTACTCCAAATTAAGTAAGTGTTCAATAAACATTTGTCAACTGAATAAATTTCATTTCTGAAAAGAGACGATAATTCACTAACCATAAAGTAAGGGGCATTGGGAGAGTAGCTCATAAGTAGAATGCTTGCTTAGCACAAGCAAGGTCCTGATTTTGGTCCTCAACACTGAAAATAATAGTAATAATTAAGAGTAAGAAACAACTGGGGCTGGAGAGATGGCTCAGCAGTTAAGAACACTGGCTGTTCTTGCAGAAGACCCAGATTCGAGTCCCAGCACCCACATGGCAGCTAACAACTGTCTTTAACTCCAGTTCCAGGGGATCTGACAGCCTCTTCTGTCCTCTGTGGACATTGTACGGCACAGGTGCACTTACCTACATGCAGGCAATGCATGCACACACATAAAATAAAAATAGTAAATAAAATATTTTAAAAAGAATAAGAAACAAGATTGTAAGTACAAGATTTTTGATTCTTAATTATCCTTTTATTGCATGGGAATGTGAACTCCCAGTATCTTTCAGCTGCTTCCCAGTTGATGTCAGTGTAATCTTTTGGGGAGCCATAAATGTATGAAGACATCACTCTCCCAGCTCTGAACTCTTCCTCTTGATGGAATCACAAAAGAACTAAAAAGGAGTGGTCACCAGTGATCTCTTCCAGTTGTGTTTCTCTGTGCGTCTGATAGAATCTGCTTGCTCTGTTTCCAGAATTTCCTCAAATGTATTCTCTCCCTTCTCTCTCTCTCTCTCTCTCTCTCTCTCTCTCTCTCTCTCTCTCTCTCTCATCTTTCTATTATGGGTTGAATGTGAAATGTCTCCCATAGCCTCATGTGTTTCCCTCCTGATCTCCAGCTGGTGGTAATATTTTTGGAGGCTGTGGAACTTGGTTGTAGAACCAGAGTGGGCTAGGGTGGTGGGGTGGTTTGAAGAATATATCCACATCTGCTTCCAAACCACGCTCTGTGTTTTCTGATTTGCCACAATGTGAAAAGCTACAGACTTGTGTTCCTGCTGCTGTGGATGGATGACTCCAGATTCTCTGGTGGACCAAATCCCTTTAATCTATCAGCCAGTATAAACTTCTTCTTTAAGTTGCTTCTGTTATGTACATAGTCATAGCATTGACAAAAGTAATTTCCCTATCTATCGATCATCTATCTATCTATCTATCTATCTATCTATCTATCTATCTATCTATCATCTATCTGTATGTCTATCATCTATCATGTACACTCATATAATCTATTTGAAAATGTCAGTTTCATGGAATTTGTCTGAGAGAAAGAGAGAGGGAGAGAGAGAATCATTCTGATATATGTCTCTCTGTGTGTGTGTGTGTGTGTGTATGAGAGAGAGAGAGAGAGAGAGAGAGATAGGAATTGAATCCAGCCTCATATATGGTAAGCATGTACTCTACTATTGAACTATATACATAGTTGCAGTCTAATCATATTTTTAAAAACACAAACATAATCATATCACTCTTTTGTTTAAAACTCTCAAATGGCTCTTGATTTCTCTTGCAATAGGATTTGAAGTCCTCTGGATGGAGTTCTATGGCTTCAGAGCCGTCTGTGTCTCATGATCATTATGTAAGGCTAAATGGTCTTCACTGAGTTCTTCAAAGTCACTGAGTCCTTTCCCATCCCCACCCTTTGCATATGGTGTTTCTTAAGCTTGGAATTTTTTCTTTTAACCTTGCCCCTCACTTCTATTACTCACTCCTCCTTTGTTGAGTTAGTTCCAACTCATCTTTCAGTCTTGATATAGATGCATTTGCTCAGGGATGCCTTTCTTGACCCTCCTGGACTCTGTTAGGACTCTCTGATATATAGTTACATTGCTTGTTTCATGTCTAGCACTACCTGAAACCTGAAACTTTAGGGTTAATAAGACCAAGTACAGATTTCTTTTCTTTTTTTTCTTTTTTTTCTTTTTTTTTTTTTTTTTTTTTTTTTTTTTTTTTTTTTTGAGACAAGGTGTCCCTGTAGCCCAAGCGGGCCTGGAATTCACTATGTAGATCAGGCTGGCCTCAATCTCACAGAAATCTGCCCTCCTCTCCTCTCAAGTCCTGCAGAGATTTTTAAAATGCAGATTTAGGACTAGACTCCAGTTTCTGATTCATAGCTAGGAGGTAAGATTGTGAAAGTTGTATTGAAATAATATTTCTATATCACTCTGGTCAGGTTATGCTGTTCAGAAACATTGCACATGATGACGCCATTTTCCTTTTGTAATTTTTCATTTCATACCTAGTCTCGCTTATTAGGGTAAAAGCCCACAAAGGTACCAGGTTTATCTTTAACAGAACATCTCATTAGTGTCTGATAATACTGGATGTATTGAAAGGAACAATTGCTGGATGCCTAAAAGGTACATTAAAAAAACCCACTTAGGAACCAGGTGACACATCTGTAACCTCAGCACTTAGGAAAATGAGTCAGGAGGATCATGAATTCCAAGTTAGCCTGGGCTACATAGCAAGACCTTGTTTCAAAACAAAAACAATCAAAACCCCTTCTTATTTACTTAGTTGTAAATTATATTTCCTATTTAGGTCCCATGGAAATCTTAGTGGGAGACCCCCAGAAAATTAAGAATATCTGTGTAAATAAAGTCCTGTGTTAATAGAGGGAGTGGTTCTAGTGACAAAATAGTTTAGTCTTTGGGAGGAAGTAGAATTGGAGAACTGGTATCATAGTGACTCATTGCTTGGAACAGAACTTCTTGCCCTTAAATCTAAGATTCAGCAAGAAGTGTGTTAACTGCTATGCATGTATAAAATAAATATATAAATGTGTATTGTTGGTTTGTCCAACTTTTTTTTTTGACACAGGGTATATCTACATAAGGGAGGCTGGCCTCAAACTCACTATATCACCAAGGAAGGTCTCAAACTTCTTATCCTCCTGCCTTTGGCTCCTGAGTTGCTGGGATTACACAGGTGCATGCCATCATGACATACTTGTTCAACAACTTCTAAGCTCTCCCTTTGTCTGAGTTAGTAGAGATAGAGGAAAAAAAAGAACAGGTTGAAAAAAACAAAAACAAAAACCTTGCCTAGAATGCCCAAGGCCTTTGACTTGATCCCCAGTACTGCAAAACCCAAAGCAACCCAAAACAAACACCAGCCTTATTTTATGAGCCTACCTTCTTGTGGAGCCTAGAAACCTCCATATAAATGAGTAAAATGTATATAATAATAGATGATATGGAGGAAATAAAGGCAAGGAGGGACTAGGGTTACCATTCTAAATGGAGTTGTGCTATGCAGTATAAAATAAATATATAAATGTGTTATTGTTGGTTGTCCAACTTTTTTTTTTTGACACAGGGTATATCTACATAAGGGAGGCTGGCCTCAAACTCACTATATCACCAAGGAAGGTCTCAAACTTCTTATCCTCCTGCCTTTGGCTCCTGAGTTGCTGGGATTACACAGGTGCATGCCATCATGACATACTTGTTCAACAACTTCTAAGCTCTCCCTTTGTCTGAGTTAGTAGAGATAGAGGAAAAAAAAGAACAGGTTGAAAAAAACAAAAACAAAAACCTTGCCTAGAATGCCCAAGGCCTTTGACTTGATCCCCAGTACTGCAAAACCCAAAGCAACCCAAAACAAACACCAGCCTTATTTTATGAGCCTACCTTCTTGTGGAGCCTAGAAACCTCCATATAAATGAGTAAAATGTATATAATAATAGATGATATGGAGGAAATAAAGGCAAGGAGGGACTAGGGTTACCATTCTAAATGGAGTTGCCAGGGAAGGCCTCACTGTGAGCAGGGCATCAAGCAAAAACCTGACAGAGGCAACAGTGAGTAGTGACATCTACAGAAGATGAAGGGATTTTCAGCAACTACAAAGGCCTGAGGTGGAAACACATCCAGTAGATCAGAGAAGCAGCATAGAGGCCAGCAGGGCTAGAGCAGAAAGAGTTGGGAGAGCCAGGTTGAAATAGGATGCAAAGACAGAGAAAATTAAGGGGACACAAGGTGGGCAAAGCCACCCCAGAATCCAGTCCGCTTCTCCCTCTGGCTTAAAATCTAGAACTTCAACACACCTGACAAAACCAAAAACACTCTGTGGATTGTGAACAGAAGCAGCAATCCTTTTTCTGAGAGATCTCTCACGGGAGACTACTGGGCCATGCTTGGTGGCAAGTGCATTTACCCACTAAACCATCTCACTAGCCCAAAGCTTTTTAAAATTTGTATTTATTTTTATTTTATGTGTATGAGTGTATTGCTTGCATGTGTGTAAGTGCACTCATGTCATGCAGTGCCTGTGGAGGACAGAAGAGGGCGTCAGATCCCTGGAACTGGAGTTACAGATGGTTGTTAGCTGCTATGTGGGTGCTGAGATGTGAACCTGGGTCTTCTGCAAGAACAGTCAGTGCTCTTAACCACCTCCCCAGCCCCCCAATGCTTCTTTTCTTTTCTTTTCCCAATGCTTTTTAAAATACAAATTCTGGTGCACGCCTTTAATTCCAGCACTTGGGAGCCAGAGGCAGACGGATCTCTGTGAGTTCAAGGCTGGCCTGGTCTAAGTAGTGAGTTCCAGGACAGCTGGGGCTACAGGGAGACCCTGTCTCAAAAAAGACAAAAAAAAATTCTGTAATTGTTTGTATGTAGACAAATTATTTACCTTCGACTTGTGAAATAGATTTCTTGGTATGGGTTTGCTGGGATCCGCATGATAAAAATTATCTGTGAGTGGAATAGCAATCCCCATGTTTGATGGAGGCCGGTAGTTTATCTGTAAGTGATTAAACAAAGAAAAAGTACATTGTTTTTTGTTGACTTACATATCCTGATTTAACTGGAGTTACAGACAACTGTTAGCCACCATGTGGGTGCTGGGATTTGAACCCGGGTCCTCTTCAAAAGCAGCCAGTGCCCTTAACTGCTGAATCATCTCTCCAGCTCTGAATTTCTATTTTTAAAAGGGTCACAAGAGCCTCCAAATAAAATAAAACACAACAAAATAAATGTCTGGGGAGTTTGCTTAGCAAGTAATGTCTGCCACTCAAGTATGAGGACCTGAGTTCAGATCTCTTGCCCCCACATAAAAAAAAAAATTGGGTGTGGCAGCATGAGCCTATAACCCCAGTGCTATGGCAGAGACAGGGAAATTCTCAGACTTGCTGGCCAGTCATTCTAGACAAAATGAAAAGCTCTAGGCTCCATGAGAGACCTTGTCTCATACGAAAAGGCAGAGAATCAACTGAGGAAGACACTCTGTTGTTAACCTCTGGCCTCCACACCTGCACATATACATGCACATGTACATACCTCTCCCTCTCTCTCTCTCTCTCTCTCTCTCTCTCTCTCTCTCTGTCTCTCATGCACACAAACAAAATTAAAAGGGTCACTGATACTAACAAGGCAAAAGTTAAAATAATATTGAAATGGGATTGGTCGCAGAATTAATTGATAGTTCAAGTCCAACATGGAGTACATAGCCAGATTTTATCTTAAAAATCTAAAACCAAATGAGAAATGGGACCATTCAGATAGATTAGCTTTGGACAAGTCATTGTTAGGAGAAATAGCTGTGTTTGTATCACAAAAGCCCAATTATACTATCAAAGTATAGTATTAGATGACATTAATAATGATGAGAGAAATTAGTGAGAAAAATAATTATTTCAGAACATTTTAGAAATAACCATCATGTCCTCAAGATGACACAGGTTCAAAAACAACTAAAGTATTTGAGCATTTCAGAACAGAAATGTCCAAACATAATGGTCATTGACGCGATGCAAACAGGAGGACTAACTACATCACTGGTACTCTCAAAGCACGATGGCTAGATTTCTTACCGGCAGAGTTTTGATCATATTGAAACCCTGACTGTCTTTGTGAACTCCACTAAGCCAGTCTTCAGCTGGGATAGCTCTGCTAGGAATATGATGCATAGTTCTGAGATAACTGCAGCTACTTTTCATCGTTGGCACCAGCGTAGTAAGAAAGCACTCCATTGATGCTTCCCACATAACCAGAGCTAGGGAAGTGGAGCCCTGGAATTATCCAAGTAAATGAAGTTTAGAATCCTGAAAACATCCAAAGTATGTTGTTTTGAACAGTCTAGAAAATGATCCATGATAGTCAATTGTTTTCTTTGAAAGAGTTTATTAAGTGTATATAAATCCAAAGTAAAAAATAGACAGCAAATAGATAACAAAACATCATCAAATTGGGTAGTCAAAACACCAACAGACATTAACTGAGGAAGCCACTCTTTTTTACTAAAACTTTTAAAATATATATATTTCTGTGTGGTGTGGTGTGTGGTGTGTGTGTGTGTGTGTGTGTGTGTGTGTGTGTGTGTGTGTGTGTAGGTCAGAGGGGAACTGGTTTTCTTCCACGATATGGGTCTTCAGGATGGAACTCAGGTTGTCAGGCTTGGTGGCAAGTGCCTTTACATGCTGAGCCATCTTGCCAGCCCTTGGAAATCCTTTCAAAGCATTCAGCTGGAGTTTCCCATAAAGAGAGTCCCAGCAGACCTGGAACTCACCATGTAAGCCCAGGCTGGCCTCGATCGCACAGAAATCTGCCTGTCTCTGCTTCCACTCATGAGTGCTGGGATTAAATGTGTGCGCCACCATACTCAGCTTAAATCTATGCCTTTTGAGCTTTCATTTGTGATGATTTTTCTTCTTCCTCTTTACGTAGAGTTCCTTTAAGTATCTTCTACAATTCTGGCTTAGTAGTCCATTAATTGCTTTGGTTTGTGTTCATTTTAGAAGGTCTTTATTTCTCCGTCATTTTTTTTTCTTAAAATAAATTTCAAGAGTTTTGGTGGAGAGAATAATCTTGGCTGGTCCATTATTTACTCGTAGGACTTTAAATATGCTATTGTACCCTTTACTGGCTTTAATGATTCCTGCTGAGAAATTTGATGTTATCCTGATGAGTTTGGTTTGTAAATAATTTGAGGCTCTTTTGTTATTTTCTTTTTCTTTATTTTGGGTGTGTGGTGTATGTGTGTAGTATATATTTGTGTGGGTAGGCATGTGGTGTGCATGTATGTGTGCCCTAGTGCTCATGCAGAGGACAGAGGAAGATGTCAGGTGTCCTGCTTTGTCTCCTTTGAGACAGGGTCTTCTCACTGAACTTGGAGTTAGGTTTGCAGCCAGCAAGCCCTAGTGACCCTCCTGTCTCCATCACCCCCAGCACTGGGGTTACATACCATGTCTGGCTTTTTACATGGGTGCTAGTGGTTCAAACTCAGGTCCTCATGTTTGTACAGCAAGTGCCCTTCCCTTCTGAGCCATCTCCCCACCCTGCTTTTTGGTATTTTGGAGACAGGGTCTCATTGAGCCCAGATTGGCCTTGAATTCACTATGCATTCAAGGCTGTCCTAGAACTCCCTATCCTCCTGCCTCCACCTCCCAAGTGCTTGGACCACAAGTGTACATCACCACACCTGGTTTATATAGTGCTGGGGATGCTGTAACTCAGGACTTCATATGTGCTAGACGACTACTTTACCAACTGAGCCACATGCCAATCCCGTGGCCAAAAATATGTAGGGTAAGGTATGATGAAAAGGGAAGGGAGAGGAAGAAAAAGAAAAAAAAGAAGAACCAGAAAACAGCAAGAGAAAAATTTCGATGATGTAATAAAAGGAAAATATGTAAACAAAATCAGAAAAAGGTAAGAAGAATAAAAGTAAAAAACATAAAAGTTTAAAAAAATAAAATTAAAAACAATATAGTAAAAAGAAAAACGAGAAAGCAAAAGGAACAAAAGTTTTGAAAAAAACGAGAGTTGGAATTAACTCCTCCTGGCTCTTTCCTTCAGTGCTGGAGCCTGCCTGGTGGAAGGGGTGGTGGGCTGAGCCTTTTTCCTCTTCACCATTCCGGTTGGTGGTGAGTCAGGGCTGGTCAGGAGCCAGCTGTCTGTCATTTTGGCGCTTCCCTTGTTTTGCATGCACAGAACTTCTGTTGGCGTTCTTGTTGCCCATGTTGAGCTTTATAGCCTGTGAACGGGAGGTATGTTCTCACTTGCTCCAGGGACCCACCAGTTTGTGTACTCTGTGGTGATTAATATCCAAGCTGAAAGATGTCCAGGAGTTCATGAGAGAGTGGGGCAGCAAATGACAGAGCTCTGTGAGAAGGGGGTGGTGTGAGGGAAACCAAGGATGCCCAGAACTGTTTGCTCATCTTGGTGCTTTCAGCTCTCACCCAGCAGGAAGCCTCTAGGAAGCTCCTCTTAGAAGGATGTCAGGTCACTGGGGACATGCCCTTCAAAGGGATATTGGGACTCAGTTCCTTCTCTTTCTTTGCTTCAAGCCTTCACACAGTAAATATGCCTCTTCTACCATGTGCTCCTGTCATGATACAGTGTGCCTCCACAGACCCAAAGCAACACAGCCAAGTGACTGTGGTCTTGAACTTCTGAAACCAAAAGAAAACTTGAGCCAAAAATAAACTTCTCCTTACAAGTTGATTATCTCTGCTTGGGGAGCTAACGCATGTACTTTTGCCAAACACATTGAAACTCAATCTAAGAAGGTTTCACTATTGAAGGAAATGTGGAACACTAAATGTACAGGTTAATTAAGATTTCACAAGGAAGCTTCAAGCAGAAAAATCTAGAACACTAGACATTCTACAGTACAACTGACTCAATTTATGCAATAATTCAAAGGCAGGGGAAGGAAATGGAGGTATAGGGACTGTTGATTAACATTTAAGGGATAAGAAACCATATTCTATGTATATTTCAATTAGAATAAACCATCTGTTAAATTTTTTTATAAAATTGGAGAAATATTATGAACTGGGTGTTATATAACACCAAGTATATAGTGTTATGTATATAGTGTTATTTAGTATTTATTTATCGAGATAAAGTCTTGCCAAGTTACCCAGGTTGACTTAACCTAAGGGGGGAAAGATTCCTTTTGGCTCACAGTTTCAAAGGGTTTCAGTCTATCATGGTGGGGAATGTACTCGACTTTGTTTTCAATTGCTGTGACAAAACACTCTGACCAGTACTAACGTGGGGAAGGAAAGGGTTTATTTGGCTTATATCTCCTGGTTATAGTTCATCACCGAGGGTGCCCAAGGTAGGAATTCAGGGCAGGAACCTGGAGGAAGGAGCTGAAGCACAGGCCATGAAGAACACTGCTTACTGACTTGCTCCCCTGGCCCCTGCTCAACCTGCTTTCTTATACAACACAGGCCCACCTACCCAGGGACAGCACCACCCACAGTGGGCTGGGCCCTCCCACCTCATTCAGTAATCAAGAAGATCCCATAGTCATGGCCACGAGCCAGTCCAATGCAGGAAATTCCTTAACTGAGGGTCCCTCTACCCAGGTGTATCATTGACAACTAAAGCACCAGTACAGAAGGCATGGTGGAGTTCATGAGAATAGGAGCATGTGGTAGAGACTCCTCATTTGGTGGTGGACCAGGAAGCAAAGAAAACTAGTTTGGAACCAGGAATGGATTATGGACTTCAAAGGCTAGTTTCTAGTACTCGACTGCTGCCAGCTCAGACCTACCTCCTGAAGGCTATGCAGTCTTCAAAACAGTGCCACAAGGTGGAAAACAATCACTTGAACATGTTTCTGTGTGGACATTCCATATTCAAACCATAACACTGACCTTGAGTTTATATCTTCCACCCCTAGCTGCTTGAGTAGCTGGGATTAAAAATCTATACCACTGTACCTAGCCTTCAAGTGCTATTTTAAAAACATTTTAGGGACAATATGGCACTGTAATTATGTGACAGATAATTTTTTTCTTTTTTACATTTTATTTTATTTAGTGTGCATGCACACATGCGTGTGTGTGCGTGCCTGTGTATGTCTGTGTGTGTCTCTCTGTGTGTGTACAGGTGTAGGCCTGCCCCAGCATACATGTGTAGGTCAGAAGACAACCCTTAGGAGTCAGTTCTCTTCTGTCACCTTGTGAGATCCAAGGATCAAACTCAGGTCCGCAGGCTGTGCATAAGAGTCTGTACATGCTGAGTCATCTCCCTGGCCCATAGGTTTTTAACTTTTTTAAATATCTTATTTATTGGGCTGGCTGTTCTTACAGAAGACCCAGGTTCAAATCCCAGCATGTACATGGCGGCTAACAACTGTCCATAACTCCAGTTCCAGGGGATCTGACAGCCTCTTTTGTCCTCCTCGGGCATTGCATGACATGGGTGCACTTAACCTACATGCAGGCAATACATGCATACACATAAAGTAAAAATAAATAAAATATTAAAAATATTTTATTATTGGCCGGGCTTGGTGGTGCATGCCTTTAATCCCAGCACTTGGGAGGCAGAGGTAGGTGGATCTTTGTGAGTTCGAGGCCAGCCTGGTCTACATAGTGAGTTCCAGGACAGCTGGGGCTACAAGGAGACCCTGTCTCAGAAAGACAAAAAAAAATTATTTTTTGTATTTTATGTGTATAAGTATATTGCCTGCATGTAAGTGCACCACATACATGCAGTGCCCAAGGAGGCCAGAGGAGGGCATTGGGTTACTTAGAACTGGAGTTACAGCCATTTGTGAGCTGCCATGTGGGTACTGGAAACTGAACCCAGGTCCTCTGCAAGAGCAGCTAATGCTCTTACCTGATAAGCCATCTCTCCAGCCCCTTAATCTGCACTCTTAACCTCTACCCTGCCCTTTAAAGTATCAAATATGTTAAAAGCGCTTAGTTATCCTTGATAGGTAGGATTAAGTCGGGTTTTTTTCTTAGTTTATATCCTACATTTTCTATAATTAACAGACTATTTCATAATTTTAAAAAATCTCTTACTTTGCGTGACAATTTGCTGGCTACATGAATTGTCATATGGTAACTATCAGTAGTACTATCAAAATAGCCTTCTGATCCAATTTCCAATAATTCTGGGTTTCCAATGACCAGTTTTATCGTTGGGATTTTGAGCGTTTTTATACCTATGAAACAAATGTCAACAGTTTACATTATATAATGAGAATTGTAAACACAACTTAATGATTTACAACTTTAACAGTTCCTAGAAAAACTTAACTTCACAAATATTTTCTATTTTCCTCAGGGAAATATTTCTCCCCTCCCCTCCTTGTTCCTCAGCCAGGTTCTCAAATGCATTTTGAGGTCATTAGGGTACTACTATTGGCTTTGTTGGCTGCTAGGCAGGTACTTGTAGGGGACAATCACCTATACTCATGAAGCTCAGGGACCTGCTTCTCCTTTAAATGACTGTTAATATCTCTTTAAAGTTTTTTTTTTTTCCAGTCTTTTTGAGACAGGGTCTCCCTGTAGCCCCAGCTGGCCTGGATCTCGCTATGTAGACCAGGCTGGCCTTGAACTCACAGAGATCCACCTGCCTCTGCCTCTCAAGTGCTGGGATTAAAGGCATGCTAGGCTAAAGATTTTTTTTTAAAGATGTGTGTGCGTGCACACACCCATGGAGGCCAGGAGGCATCAGATCCCCTGAAGCTTGAGTTCCAGGCGTTGGTGACCTGCCTGATGTGGGTGTTGGGAACCAAACTTGATCCTCTCTGCAAGAGGAATAGAAACTGTTAACTGCTGAGCCATCTCTCCAGCACGTTTTTTAAATTTTGTTGTTGTTCATTATTTTGAGATAAGAACCTCCAGAGAAACTTAAAAAGAATCAGCCAAAACAGCCCAGTTACTCTGACCCACTCTTTTTAGATGACCTAGGATAAACTTTGCTTATTGTAATACTAACTTTTCTGCCCTGTGGTATTCCTGGCTGACCCTACCCCTCACTTTTTTTGAAAGTGCAATGTATGACCTTGCACTTGAACTGAGCATGTACAGGAGTGTGCCCCTCTCTACATGTGACGTTGGGTCTTTACTGTATAAATATGTGTAAGTTTCTCCAATAAATGCTTTTGCTTTCTTTGTTTGGGGAGACACTGCTTCAGGAATTATTCCCAGTATTCTCCTACCTGATGCAAGCAGTAAGTCTTTCCTTCATTCATTTACCTCCTGGGTATATTTATTGGATTTGTACCTACAAAGAGGCAAACCTGAGGCAGATGGAAGGCAAAGAAACTCTGGGCCCTTACCTCTTAAGAGCAAAGAGTTACCAAGAAAAAAAGAAAGAGAGAAAAAAGAAACAAAACAACCTAAGTTTGTAGCTTCACTAGCTCTTTTAAAAGTTTTTATTTATTTATTACTTTTATTTTTATGTGTATGAGTGTATTGCCTGCATGTATGTAAGTGCATTTATGTCATGCAATACCCGCAGAGGTCAGATCCCCTGGAACTGGAGTTACAGATGATTGTTAGCTGCCATGTGGATGCTGGGATTTGAACCTGTAAGAGCAGTCAGTGGTCTGAACCTCTGACCCATCTCTCCAGCCCCTTCGCTAGCTCTTTTTAACTTAAAAAAATCACACTAACTTTGGATGCCATACAACTGAGCAATACCTTACTAGCTCTGGTTTGCTTTTCTATAGATGAGACCTCTGATGGCTGTAACAGCTGCCTACGTTCCTTTGCAGAGACTCAAAAACTGCTTTTGCTAAAAACACTGATTCTTCACTTGAACCTGTAGATATCTGATAGGTGACTAAAATGGGCTAAAAAATTTGATGTCTTTGTTTCGACATCTGAAGAGAATAAAAACCGTAAGAGCCAGATGAAGGTTTAGATAACATGGCTCAGGTGTGGACATCTGGAATGACTTAGTTAAAATGGTCACTACTGAATGGTCCACAAGGAAACTAAAAGCAGGACAAGAGCCTGGCACTGACAGTCTTCACTTCGTACCTGTCTCCTTTACTTCGGGCCAGATTTCTGCTTAACTTTGCACACACATTAATTATTCAAGGAGTGCCAATCTAAAAACTGGTGATACTGTAATAAGTAAAATATGGTGGCTCATTTTTATTTATTTTTATTTTATGTGTATGAGTATATTGCCTGCCTGCATGTGTGTAAGTTTACTTGTGTCATGCAATGCCTGTAGAAGTCAGAAGAGGGTGTCAAATACCCCTGGAACTGGAGTCACAGACAGTTGTTAGCTGCCATGTGGGTGTTGGGAATCAAACCCAGGTCCTCTGTAAGAGGATATAGTGCTCTTAACCACTAAGCCAGCTCTCCAGCCTCAAAGGTCCATTTCTAATACAAAAGTGCCTTAGGTGAGTGTAGGCTTCAGACAAACAGAGACACTGAGTCCCCATCCCAATGGCTAACATCTGCTTGTCTGTACTTTTGGCTACTCACCATTCAAACCAAAGGTTTATCTCAGGGTAGGAAAATGCAGACAGCCTGCTACATGACTAAGTACACGCATAAAGGGTTGGGGGTGGGCGGCTAAGGTAGATGCTTGGGCAGTTGTGTCTGGCAGGAGACTTTTACAATAGCTTGAGCCACAAGATTGAACATCTGCAAAACAGGATGTAGGCAACAACTTCCAGGAAGGGTATGAGAAGAGGAGGAGAGAGGATGAAATTTAGATGATGTATGGGAAAGATAGATCCTTGAATCCCCAACCAGTGAAGAGAGGGAAGAGAAAAGCCTTGTGCTTAGGGCTATAAAAATGAATGTTTCAGCTGGGTGTGGTGGCGCACACCTGTAGTCCCAGCACTTGGGAGGCAGAGGCAGGTGGATCTCTGTGAGTTCAAAGCCAGCCTGGTCTACATAGTGAGTTCCAGGACAGCTGGGGCTACAGGGAGACCCGCTTCAAAAAGACAAAAAAAAAAAAAAAAAAAAAAAAATTCATGCTCAACTGGGGCACCGGGTCTTGTAAAGGTGGTAAAAGAGTGACTCATTTTTGTCACTTTGAGTCTTGTTATTATGAAGTAGAAAACTCATTCCCCAAAAATATATATCCTATCAACCCCCTCAAGGTTGAAAGCACAAAGCAAGAGTAGTGGAGGCACTTATTTTATGATCTTTAATAAGGCCTTGTGACAACCCAGACAAAATGGAAGGCACTCAGACTGAGTGCAAAATGTCCATGTTTACAGCCCTAAGCACAAGTCCCTTCTCTCTCTCTTCCCTTCTGGTTGGGTACTCAAGGAGATATGCTCTTTCCTGAACAATGTCCTTCATGTTCCAGACCCCCATCTTCCAATCATTGTCCTAAACCTGAATGAAGTCACTGTATACTGGAATAGCAGCACAGCTTTGCAGATGAGCAGGAGCAACCATCTCTCAGGACCTAGCTTGTCTCCTTATGCTTGAGAACCACCATGTAGACCAACCCCAAACTGAGATAGTGATCAACCAGACCACACCTTGACTAACACTGCTCGATTGTTCTTGGCCCACTTCATCTTCCATTGAGACCTGAAGCACATCCTGACAGTACTCCAAAGAAGACAGGTCACTGAACCTCTTTATCTGTTCTTCCCAATTGTCACATTGATTAAATCTCCTCTGTTTTTCTCTAGTATTCATCTCTTTAGTTGGCACATTCAGACTGCTAACCTTCCTTAGTAATATAGCAGTACAAGGTTAAAATCCATTATGATATTCTGGAGACGACACAGGCCCTTACTGGCCAAGACCTGTCCAGTCTGTAGCCTCACTAGCTCCTTCCCTGCCCATAAAACTTTTCTGCCCTCTCTTAGTTTCTTTTCTTATTGCTGTGATAAAATACCCTGACAAAAGCACTGTCAGCAAGGAAGGGCTTATTTTAGGGCATGAGTCAAGGGAGCAGGAGCTTGAAGCAGCTGGTCGCATTGCATCCACAGTTAAGGAGCAGAGAGTAACACACTAATTCATACTACTGTTCAGCTCGCTTGCTCTACTCACATAATCCAGGATCCTCTGCACAGGGAATGATCTCCCCAGAAATTAAGATGGGTCTTTCCTCACCAATTGACGTAATCAAGATAATCCTTCAGAAGCGCACTCAGAGGTCTGTCTCCTAGGTGATTCTAGAGTCTGTCAGACTGACAGTTAACACTTACCATCACAGGCCCTGAGCCTAGGATGATAGAGCTTTAAGGAAACAGCTCCTTCATCATATGATAAATAATAAACATGATTCCTTGCTACCAACACATGTCTCCTGAACACTGGCATTCTGAGTGGAGGGTAGCCTAAATATTTAATTCTGGAAACACTTCTTTTTTGGAGGGGGGGTCTTTTTTTGAGGCAGGGTTTTGCTATAACCCCAGCTTGTCTGGAACTCACTATGTAGACCAGGCTGGCCTTGAACTCACAGACTTCCACCTGTCTCTGCCTCCCGAGTGCTGGGCTTAAAGGCATGTACCACTATGCCTGGCTAAAAGGGCATACTTTATATTCAAGAAGAGACCCCTTTTGATTTTTCCAATAAAAACAAACTTACCTTTTGTATTAGGTATAATCTTAACTTCAAATTTCTTTTTGTTTCCCACATCAATGTATTTTATAAGGTTGAGGGACAGAAAATCATACTGGAATTGTTGAAACCAGTAATTACAAGGTTTTACATCTATAGTCCACTTCCGTCCACTACTTTGTCCAAAGTTGTATAAGAACCAAGATTCTGCCGCAAAGTCCATATTTGGGTATACAGCTTTAGGCATGGTAGCCAGCGATTCAACATTCTTACTATCTACAATGCGTGTGATCAGAAAACTGCTATAACCAGGTATCACCACTGTCTTCTCTACATCTGTATCTATAAATATATCTTTGGGATCTGGAGATAAAAAGAAAAGATTTGATATAAAAGACAATAGCCAATATTTGCTAAGCACACTGGTGGGAATAACTGCTAAATGTAGCATTTAAGTTTTTTAAACTATGAACTTGATAATACATTTGCTAAACTTCATGTTATTATTAAAATTTACTAGAGGAGTTCATCATCACACACAAACCTATATTTTAATGCTTACTATGAAACTGTTCTATAAAATTCTCAGCAGGGAAAAAAGTATGTAGGTCCAAGAATCTTTCTTTCTCTCCTTTCCTCCCTGTCTCATGACTGAACAGCAAGTGTTCTTAACCATGGAGCCAACTCTCCAGCCCGTCAATATACAAAGAATTCCTAAAAGTCGTAAAGAAAAGCCAGATGTGACACATGACTATAATCTCAGTACTCAGAAGAGGCAAGGACTGAAGCCAGTCTAGTTCACAAGTTCCAAGCTAGCCAGGGCCATGTCGAAGACTGCTTAAATAGACAAACACACACATGCGCAATACATACACACACACACACACACACACACACCCCTCCCTCCAAACACAAAACAAAGTTGAACAACTCAACCAAAACACAAAACAAAACAGAAACTCCAAAACAAAAACAATACTCATGAAGAAAGCAAGCCACCAGTTTTAAAATGGTGAAAATATCTGAGAAGATATCTCATACAACATCAAAGCAAAATGTACATGATAAGGGCCTGGGGAGATGACTCAGTGGGTTGAGTGCTTAATGTGAAGGCAAGAGAGCCCGAGTTCAAATTCCTAGCATGCATGTAAAAGCTGGGGATGGGTGTACATGTCTGTAACCCCAGCACTGGGTGGGAACAGAGACAGGTGAATCCCTGGAGCCTGCTGGCCATCCAGCAGAGATACACGTTTCACATTCAGTGATCTTATCCTCAAAAACTAAAGTGGACAGTGAAAACAAAAGATAGTTGATATCCTCCCCGACCTCTGCAAGCATGCACATGGATATGTGCACCCCCATGTATGCACCAGTGCATGAACACACACACACACACACACACACACACAAAGGCATATAATCCCAGAATGGGCTCCCTCTTTTGGAGTTGTTGACAGGGGAGGGTCCCACACATCCTCAAAATGTACTGGCTGTTGCTGTTGCTCTTAGTTACACTCCAGAACTTGGTGGTAAGGCCCTAGTGCTGAAGACAGTACATACATAAGTTGTAGAACAAATATGGAGAAATCAAGCTGGTACTGACTTTGAAGCTTCATCCCTACTGGCTAGTTTTCACAGTGCTGGAAAGTGCTATGCATACTATTAGAAGAGAAAAGTAATCATCAATGTTACCCAGCTGTGAACCCTGAGAGCTACAATAATGACTGGCCTGGTAAGATATGCCCACTGGTGTAATAGTGGTATGAATTTTATGGGAGTAACCATAACCACTTTCTGATTAGATTTAAGGCCCACTTCACAACATGGACCTCATACTTGGCACTGTTATCAGGGCCAAGAACCTGCGGCTACACAGGTTCCAGGCCATAGGGGAGAACCTACTACTATTACTCTGCTAAATGACCATAGTAGTAAACCAATCCATAATAACTTATTGTTATATCCATGAACTAGTGTATCTATCACCTCTCACCAGAGATATTTCTTCTTGAAGCAGATAGTGATTAACACAGAGACCCACAACTGGTCAATGTGCAGAGAATAAGAGACTGCAGAGTGTCCAGCCTTAAATGGGACACCTATATCATACTCTCTCCTCCCAAGGCTAAGGAACCATTTCAGAAAAGGGGCCAGAAAGACTGGAAGGGCCAACAGCCAAGGTCACCAATGACTTGCTGATTACTTCTCATTCTTCATCTCATTTGCCTTACTAGTGACATGTAACACAGGTGTACTCCCTCCTTGGACCACCATCCTCACTTGCTTGGCCTTTGAGACACATTCTCTCTTAGGTCTTCTTTGACCAGATCATCCAGTCTCCTTTAACCATTCTTGCCCATCTCCAAACACTTGGTGTTGGAATGCCCATGGTTAGACCTCAGGCCATGTCCTTTATTTAGTTCCACTCATTTTCCAGTTTCCCTTAGTATTAAATATTATACTTCTACTGATTTTTCTGCATTCCAGTGGAACTGTCTCCTCTTGCTCTGTCATCCTTCTCCTCCCTCCTGCAGCTGTTTCTCTTGGTACTGGAGCCTGAACCCAGAGCCTTGTGCATGCTAGGCAGGTACAGATTAGGTACTTGGATGAGTAATATGCATCTAAAGTTTAACATGATCTCCTACCTGATGACTGCAACTGCCTTCAGCTGGTTTCTCTGTTTTCCTCATCTCTCTATATTGTCTGCCTAGTCTAGTTTTAACACAGCAGCCAAAGTAATCTTGCTAAAATAGAAGTCAGATCAGATCATTTTCCAGGTAAACCCCTCCAACGGCTTCCCAGTTACTCAGAGGAGAACCTAAATCCTTGCAATAAGGAATTAATTTTATTATTTTAATTATTACATTTACATTATTAAATATTTTAAATTATTTAAACATTAAATTATGAAATATTTAATAATTACTTTTAATCATGTGTGGGGGGGGTATGGTGCAGATGCACATGAAAGTCTTAGGCACTGGGTCCTCCTGAGGCTGGAGCTACAGGAAGTTAGGAGCTGTCAAATATGGGAGTTGGTAACTGAATTCGGGTCCTCTGTAAGAATAGTATGTGCTCTTAATTACTGAGTCATCTCCCAAATGATACTAATTTCTGTTATTATCTAGTAAATAATCTTTGAAATAGAAATATCCCATATAAGTGTTTCAAATTCATTTTTTATTATGTAGGGCAAAATCTGCATATTCTTTAAAAAAATTTTTTTTGAGACAGGGTCTCATTATGCAGCCTTGTCTGGCCTGGAACTGCTTGTGTAGACCAGGCTGGCCTCAAACTCACAGAGATGGCCTGCCTTTGCCTCCTGAGTGATTAAAAGTATGCACCACCAAGCCTCATTAAAAATTTTTCATTTAGAAATTTACTTTTGGTTGATATAAAATTCTCATCTTTCTTTTAAGCACCATTTAAGACATAACTAGTCTCATTGGAATGAATAATGAACATGAAATATTAATGAAGTCATAGGTGGGTTTCATTGTGTTAGGTACAACTGTTCCTAGAACTTAAGTATCTGCAAGCTTTGGTAGATTGCCAGTTGGACTAGAATTTGAGAGAAAGGAAGGTAATGTTGCTTAGTGATAGAGTACTTGCCTAACATTTGCAAGGCTCTAGGTCCAATTCCCAGAACCATCTAGACACCCACAATTACAACTATTATTTTATAAATGAACATGAGGTCTTCTCCAAAGGAAATTAAAAATTTTTTTGACCATCCAAGATAGATTATATTTTATGCTTACCAGTTGACTGAAGAGTCAGTCTGTATATGTTCTCCCCAGAAGATTTAATGGAGATAGAACTAGCCACACAAGGGCTGTCACCCACTTCCTCGACACCAAAAGGCTCTATTAGTTCTGCAAGAACTGAGGAATAAAATCCTTCAAGTATTGACTTGTGAAAGAATACTTTTCTGATGTAAGCTATTCCTTTTTTACTAAAAATAAACAACAAACATCAAATAATTTGGATAATTCAGCAGCTTAAATGAGCATGTATATGAGCATATGATTTACAAATAAATAAAATAGACCATCCCTAGCTAACAAATGAACTTTTGGCTAACATTTGTTCAAACTCATTAGTTGTCAGCAAAATGGCATTTACAACAGTGGGACACAATTTTTCACTCTAAAATCAGCAAAGATTATCTATCTATCTATCTATCTATCTATCTATCTATCATCTATCTATCAATCAATCATCTATCTATCATCTATCTATCTGACTACCTTTTTAATGCTGAGGATCAAACCTAGGACCTCATGAATGGTAGGCAAGTGTTCTACCATTGAACCACGTCCTCAGCAAATAAGTATTTTAAAATGACAGGGTTCAGTAGTGGTGCTGATTGAATGGAAATAGATACTCGTCCACTACTGATGAGATTGTAAATGAAGACAAACTTCCTAGAAAGCAATTTGACACCATGTATTAAGAACACACACATTATTATCCCCTTCCCCATCCTGATTCCCTTGGTCTGTGAATATGTATCTATCTTTTAAAAAAATTGCATTGATTGATTGATTGATTGATTGATTGTGTGTGTGTGTGTGTGTGTGTGTGTGTGTGTGTGTGTATGGGTATGTTTGTGCCACTGCATGTGTGTAGAGATCAGAGGACACGTGGGTTCCAGGAATGGAACTCAGGTTGTCAGGCCTGGCAGCAAGCACCTTTACCCACCAAATCATCATGCTGGTCCTCATCTATATCTACCTCAAGGAAATACTTGAAATACAAGGATATTCATCACAGAATTACTGTGAAAGTTAGAAATAGGAAGTGCCAACAAAAGCAACAGCTACAGAGGCTGGAGAGATGACTCAGCGGCTAAGAGCACTGGCTGCTCTCAAAGAGGATCCAGGTTCCATTCCCAGCACCCACATGGTCGCTTAGCAACCATCTGTAACTCCAGTTCCAGGAGATCTGATGCTCTCTGCTGACCTCCGAGGACACTGCATACATGGGTGAACTTACATACACGCAGGCAATACACTCATACGCATAAAAATAAAACATTTTTTAAAAAGCAATGGCTACTGGGGCTGGAGAGACGGCTCAGCGGTTAAGAGCACTGACTGCTCTTACAGAGGACCTGGGTTTGATTCCCAGCACCCACATGGCGGCTACGAACCGTCCTTAACTCCAGTTCCAGGGGAATCCGAAGCCCTCTTCTGATCTCCGCGGCATTGCACGACACGGATGCACTCACATACATGCAGGAAATACACTCATACACATAAAAAAAAAAAGCAATGGCTGCTATACAGTTTACCAGAGGAAAAGGTAACGACTAAAGTGGTGTGTACAGAGTTTTAATGACACAGGAAGATGGTCCTATTACAATGCTCAAATGAAAAGAACAAAGTGGAAAGTGCTGGAATGCATGCGGAAATGTTAAAGTGCCCTGTTGGTGATTCAACAAAATGATTTCAGTGCTCTTTCTCATCATTTTGTTACCTTTAAAAAATGATAATTCATGCGGGACATGGTGGCACATGCCTTTAATCCCAGCACTTGGGAGCCAGAGGCAGGTGGATCTCTGAGTTCGAGGCCATCCTGGTCTACATAGCTAGTTCCAGGCCAGCTGGGGCTACAGGGAGACCCTGTCTCAAAAAGACCAAAAAAAAAAAAAAATTCATTCTGGCAAGATGGGTCTAGGTTGACTACTTTTCAAATACATGAAGCTTTTTTTCTTTTTTAAAGACAATCTTGGTATATAGCCCAGGCTAGCCTGTATGTAACCCAGGCTCAACTTTAACTTAAAAATATTATTTATTATTTTATTTTATGTGTATGAGTGTATTGCCTACATGTATGTAAGTGCACCCATGTCATAAAATGCGCGCAGAGGTCAGAAGAGGGTGTTGGATCTCCTGGAACTGGAGTTACAAATGGTTGTTAGCTGCCATGTGGGTGCCGGTAATCAGACCTGGGTCATCTGCAAGAGCAGTCATTGCTCTCAACCGCTGAGTCATCTCTCCAGTCCCTCACCTTGAACTTTTTTTTTGAAACAGGCTCTCCCTGGGCTCTCCCCAGCTGGCCTGGAACTCACCCTGTAGAACAGGCTGACCTTACTCTTACAGAGATTGCCTGTCTTTGCCTCCCAAGTGCTGGGATTAAAGGCATGCACCACTATGCCCAGCAAACTTGAACTGTTTTAAAAATTGTGTACAGTGGGACTGGTGAGATGGCTCAGCAGTTAAGAACTCTGTCTGCTGTTCAGTACCCAGCATCCATATGGTGGCTAACAACCATCCCTAACTCCAGTTCTGAATATCAGATGCTATCTTCTGACCCTCCCAGGCACTGCTCACATGTGGTGCACATATATGCAGGCAACCAAACAAAACAAAACAGAAAAAGAGAATTAAGCAGAATTATTTAGCCACTTGAGAAAGCAAGAAATTCCCACCCACAATCCAGTTACAGATAGAAAGCAGAATCTGATTGCTGAAAGATATAATTTCTATGAATAAGTTTTTTCCTTCTTAATGGAGCTTGTCAAGCTGAGTCTAATATTCACATGAATGATAAAAAGCCAAGAAAAGCCAGCAAGAGGCATAGATTTACAAGTATTACATAAAGTGATATAGACATGGTAAACATCAAGACAAGGACATCAGGGAGACTGAAGAAACCATAATGGAGAGGCTGAGGCAGGAGGATCACCAGGAATTCAAGACCTGCTTAGGCTACATAATGAGACCTTACCTTACTGCACCTCACCACAAAAAAAAAAAAAAGGAAATAGACTAGACACAGACCAATGTAAACACAGAAACTGTGCTATGTCACAGCACCATGATGTAGATCAGTGGATCAGTGTGGAGAGGGGGAGCCCAGACAGACAACTGATTGTCCACGTATCAGTGAAGAAAATCATATCCCTACTTGACACCATACGTAAAACCTGTTCTAGACAGATGGCAAGCTTTGAAATGAAGAGCAAATGATCAAAATTGTTATGTGAGAGAGTAGTTAAACTGTGGTCCATTTGTATGAATGAATTGCAAATACAGCTATCAATGTGAAGAAAATTTTTAAAGCATATGGAAGGCCAGTGAGATGACTCAGTGGGTGAAGGTGCTTGCTGCAAAGCCTGATGATCTGATTTGATCCCTGGGACCTACATGGTGTAAGGAAAGAACTGACTCCCAAAGCTGTCCTCTGACCTCCTCATGTTCTCTCTCACTCTCTCTTTCTTTCTCACACACAAATAAATGTAATAATTTTGCGAAGCGTATGGAAAATTAAATCATAATATCATATGAAAAAGGCAAGTTCTGAGAATGTACATAGCTAACCTAATAAGTTTTAATACACACACGTGCTAAAGAGTTCTAGAATGTTAACATAAAATACAAGATGATGTTTATTTGTGGGGAACAAAGGTAGTGCTGGGGTAGAGCAGAGAAGCAGGAAGCACAGAAGTGCTGCCTAGGAGGGCCACTAGAGGGATGGAGGGCCCAATACTGTGGTTGGCTTCAGAGACAGTATGGCCCAGCAGTTGCCACTAGCTGGAAGAGGACCCAGGGCTCCATCTGGAAGACCTTTGGCCTCTTTATCGCACTTCTCTTCTCCCACTTAAACTCCTAAGATCAGAATGAGGGTGAATAAAGAGCAGTAGTGGGGGAAAGATTCCAGGTGGAGAGGACAGCATGTGAAGAGTCCCAGGGCCAGAGGAACAAGACCAGTGAGATAAATAAAGCAAAAGAAAAGCAGAGTGATAGCAGTGTAGTGATGACAGCGGAGAGGTCATTTGAGAGTGAAGCCCAGGAAGAGCTTTGAGTCCCACTAAAGAATTTGAATGGTATTCTAAGAGGAACTTCCCCAGGTTCTCAAACAAAGAGTTCAGCCCCCTCGTAAACACTTTCAGTGCTTGCTGATTCATGTCAAGGGTGGTAATCCGGTGGTAACCACATGTCTGTCTTGCTTCTTGGGCTCCAGGTGTGCACGGGCTTGGAAATATTCCTCCCTCAACCACAGCATCTACCTTGCAAGTAGTTAGTGTTGAATCAGTTTTGTAAAGTGGAGGAATGCTCCCACTGCTTCCCCCCTGACTGCCTAGATGTCTGCCTTTGGCCTATTGCTGGTCTCCTTCTTTGGACTCTCCTATTCTTTTTTGGTCTTTTTGAGACAGGGTCTCTCTCCCTGTTGCCCCAGCTGTCCTGGAACTCACTGTGTAGACCAGGCTGGCCTTGAACTCACAGAGATCCATCTGCCTCTGCCTCCCAAGTGCTAGGATTAAAGGCGTGTGCCACCACGCCAGGCCTAGACTCTCCTAGTCTTAACTGTCCAGTTGAAGTTCTATTTGCACCCCAAGTCTGTGATCCTGGCTCTTTGCTCACATTTTCTGTCTTATAGCTGCCTGTTCTCTAGTTCCTGTGCAAATCCAAATCCAGGCAAAGTAATTGGATCTGATCACAGATTGTGCTGTTCTGGTTTCAAATATTCAGGTCCTTAAAAAGAATGATCATATGCTTTAAAAATAATTATAAGGGGCTGGAGAGATGACTCAGTGGCTAAGAGCATTGACTGCTCTTGTAGAGAACTTGGGCTTGATTCCCAGCACCTACATGGCAGCTAACAACCGTTGGTAACTCCAGTTCAAGGGGCTCCAACACCATCTTCTGATCTCCTCTAGCATTGCATCACATGGGTGGACCTACCTACATGCAAGCAATACACCCATACACATTAAATAAAAATAAATAGAAATAAAAAATAATAAAAATAATTATAAAAGTTATTATTAACCTTAAAATAGTATTAATATGTTCATATTTTTTGTTGTTTTTTATATTTTATTATTTATTTTATTTTATGTGTATGAGTATACTGTCTGCTTGTAAGTGTACCCATGTGCAGTGCCCAGCGAGGAAGGAAGAGGGTGTCAGATCCCCTGGAACTGGAGTTATGGACAGTTGTTAGCTGCCATGTGGGTGCTGAGAATTGAACCCAGGTTGTCTGCAAAAGCAGCAAGTGCTCATGACTGCTGACCCATCTCTCCCGTCCCTTTGCTTTTGTTTTTTGAGACAGGGTCTCACTATGCAGTCCTGGCTGACCTAGAACTTGCTATTAGATGAGGCTGGTCTTAAACTCTGAAATCTGTCTGCTTCTGCCTCCCAAGGGCTAGGATTAAAGATATGTACCACCACACCCACATTAACCTTTTAAAAACTGATTTAATAAGTTTTCTCTAAGGAAGTACCCACATAGACATGGACTGATCTGAAATGTCATGAACAGATAAATTGACCTGAAGTGTACAAAAGCCATGAAATAAACAAAATAACTCGGGACAACTGACACACTATTCTTAGAGATAAAAAGTTTTCTAACCCTATTAAAAATACAGTTAGTATTTCTTATATTATGCCTGATTCCTATATTCATTTCTGCTTCTAAGCGAGCATGGTTTTGACTGTGGATAAGGCATGTACTGACAGCCCAGAACACATATAACGTAGAGATTTCATCCTACTATAATAATGGGCCCATATCTTTGGGACAGAGTAAGTATTTCAGTCTGTTTAAGCTACTGTAGCAAAATACCTTAAACTAAATAACAATAAAAATATGTTCCTCACAATTCTAGAGGATGGGACATCCAAGGTCAGGGTGTCAGCACTTTCTGTGTTTGGTTAAGGGGCCATTTTCTTGTCCATGAACGGGGTGTTCTGCATCTATCCTCACAGGGTAGGAGGATCCAGCTAGTTCTCTGGGTTCTCTTTTATAAGAGCACTAATCCCATTTATAAGGGCAGAGCCCTTATGCCTACTCATTCCCATAACACAACCTTGAGGGTTAGGATTCAATGTAGAATTTTGTGGGACTACAACCATTCAGACCACAGCTGTAAGTCTCTGGTAATCCCACTTTGCTCTCTCTCTTTTTGTTGTCATTTTATATTTGGTGGTTATAGAATTAAAATCATCCTTAAAAGAGTTTTTAGACTTTAAAGATATTGTTAAAGCTCATTGGCTCCTGCCAAAATCTTAGAAGTAAATGTTCCTGAGAATTCTGTATAATACCCTATCATGCATTATATCATGAAAGATGGTTCCCAACATATTAGAATACCTGTCTCTAGGAAATAGGATTATTGTAGTTGAGTAAAGATTGGACAAGAATGTCCAGTGTATCCAGGATATTTTGGTATTCAGGATAAGGAACACACATTCCTATAGTTTAGCCTGATGGTACTGATATAAATGGTACCGTTTCTATAATTCAAACATCATATAAGACAACTTGGAGTTCATAGTGTACTTTGACTTGAAGGATGTAAAAAAGTATGAGCCGGGCGTGGTGGTGCATGCCTGTAGTCCCAGCACTTGGGAGGCAGAGGCAGGCGGATCTCTGTGAGTTCAAGGCCAGCCTGGTCTACATAGTTCTAGGCCAGCTGGGGCTACAGGGAGACCCTATCTCCAAAAGACAAAAAGAAAAGTATAAAGATTCTATTGGACCAAAAAAATCCTAAAAAAATAGGCTCAAAATTTAGATTCTAAAGATTATTATGCAACCTAAATAAGTGTAAGCAAATCATTAATTACCTGAAGTGTATTGCTTTTCCATAGTGAATATTTTTGAACTTCTTTTTATACATAGTGGAGGGAGACTCATTTTGAGGTACATAAGCAAAAAAAAGTATCTCCCTGGGAGAGATATACTGTGGGGCAAGTGCAGTTTCAAATCCCAAATCAGGACTCTAGAATTAGAGAAATAAATATTGTGTATTTTAAGTATTTTATGCTTCAATTATAATGCAATTCAAATAACAGAATTTTTCCCATTCATATCAAAACAATACTGTTTTATTTATCGATTGGAGTGCAAAATCAATGTGGTCTCTGAATATCTTTGAAGGGAAATTATATTCTTCTGCTGAGGAAGAAAAGGAATTCTGGTAATAAAGACTCAGTTTGACGGGCTGGAGAGATAGCTCAGTGGTCTAAAAAAATAGGCTCAAAATTTAGATTCTAAAGATTATTATGCAACCTAAATAAGTGTAAGCAAATCATTAATTACCTGAAGTGTATTGCTTTTCCATAGTGAATATTTTTGAACTTCTTTTTATACATAGTGGAGGGAGACTCATTTTGAGGTACATAAGCAAAAAAAAGTATCTCCCTGGGAGAGATATACTGTGGGGCAAGTGCAGTTTCAAATCCCAAATCAGGACTCTAGAATTAGAGAAAAGTAAATATTGTATTTTAAGTATTTTATGCTTCAATTATAATGCAATTCAAATAACAGAATTTTTCCCATTCATATCAAAACAATACTGTTTTATTTATCGATTGGAGTGCAAAATCAATGTGGTCTCTGAATATCTTTGAAGGGAAATTATATTCTTCTGCTGAGGAAGAAAAGGAATTCTGGTAATAAAGACTCAGTTTGACGGGCTGGAGAGATAGCTCAGTGGTCAAGACCACTGGCTGCTCTTGCAGAGGACCCAGGTCTCCCAGAACCCACGTGATGGCTAACTCCAGTTCCAGGGTATATGACACCCTCTTCTGGCCTTAGTGGGCATTGCATGACATGGGTGCATTTATATACATGTAGGCAATAAATACACTCATACACATAAAATAAAAGTAGTAAAATATTTTTAAAGACTCAGTTTGAGCTTCATGTAGCTTTTGGAGGAGGCTGCAGTGGAAGAGTGTATAAAGACCCGATTTCTATCATAAGGATTGGGAGGTGCAGATTTCAGTGTTGGGTTCTCTGTCTATGGTGACACTATCCCGAATGCACTGGATCTCATCAGAATTGGGTTCTTAATTATTTAGGAAGGACCCTGTGAAGCATCTCCTCTCTGCTTCTGATGCTGAGTCTCACGCTCTGTGCTGTGAATCCTGGCTCTGGTCTCTGCTGGCATGTTCCTTTCCCACCTTCTCTGACCCATAGACTTTCCCGAAAGGTCACCTTTGGCCTAGATTTCTGACCTGTTGGTCTTTTCAAAGTTCACTTCTCCAATCCTGAGCTGCTCAGTTTGGGGAACTTTTAGTGAGAAAACAGAGGAGTACTAGCCTCAGAGAGGTTGGAGCTGACATTGTTGCTAGGTGGCAAATGATGGGCTAGTAGTGCAGTCCGAGGCTACATCTATCAGGTAGTGCCTCCAAGACACATTTCTGTCATATTATTCCTATCAGTTTCTGAATTTTGGGGACCCACCAAGAATGGAGGAGAACGGGGAATAAGGTGACTAAAAGGACAGATCCTGAAGCCAGCTGCCTCAGATTCTAATAGATGAACAGCTGCACAATTTGGGTACTTATTTATCCTCTGTGTCTCATTTTTTCATAAGTAAAATGGAGATAGTTGTTATAAAGATGATGAGTTCACAACAGTGTGTGACACATGCAGAAAGAGCTAGTGATCATTATTTTTTTTCCCAGAGGGGATGCATGTTCAATGTGGAAAGAAAGGTAACCCATTGCATAATGGCGTATGAGAGTCTTAAACTTGTCCCAAGTATAAACATTCTTATAGTTTTTCCATTTTAGCAATTTCAACTTTCACTGAAGGCAACTAAATTACTTTCTGTAAAATTGTGAAGTTAGAGAAAAGCTGATGTAGCTGGGGTTTGTTATTTCTACCAGACTGTTCACATTGTCTACTTTGTACATTTGCAGAATCCACACCCCAGGCTTAAGCAACGTGCATGGAGGCATCTCACCCTCTCCCACAAGTTCCTCTCTTCACTTTGCGTATGTATCTCAGACAGAGGATGCCAAAACGCTATCCTATCTAACTGCAGACTTGGGTTGGTGTGTGGATTGATCTTTTAAAAATAGATTCATCCTATGGTCTATTTTCTTTAAAACAAAGACCAGATTTTATTAAACCCCAGTGAAATATGTTTGATTCTTGGCTATTTGCTGATGAATATCAATTTCATGACTGTGTGCTAATGATGAGTTCCTGGGCATATATACCTTCATAAATAGCACATTACACATTGTAATTATTCCAAAGTCTCTATCTATTTATCATCTGTGCAGGACAGAACTCTGTCCTATGCTGGCATTAGGAAAAGAAGGTGGGAAGGTTTAGCATGGAAGAAGAAAGGTGAGTCAGAACTCACGTTTCCTCATGGCCAACCTTGGGGGTAGAAAACCCACTTTACTGGGCCTGAATTGCTAGTAACAGATATAGTTTAGAAGAACTGATGTTTCTCTCCTGTGAAAGCACTGCATGAGGATATCCTGGGTGGGACTGGACATATATAACCCTGTGTGGGACTTAGTGAAGGTTTTGGAGGGGTTCACGCATATGGAAAAATTCTTTCTTTAGCAAAATACACTAACAAGAGTTTGTCCTAAGGAAAACGCCTTCCCATTGCTCTGTGTATAGACTGTGTCATCTATTCTCCAAATAAGGTAAACCGTTTCAATGCATCATGACACTGACCTGATCAAAAATACTGGTAGAAGTCCCAAAGGCTTTAAGTTTTGGACCAGGGTCAAAGTGATCTGGATTCAGTTTGTGTATGAATCCCAAGTGGTCATAGTACAATGTGAAGATTTTATCATTAAGTTTTCCAATCTTAGTATATCTTCCTAATCCTGTTAGGGAATAAACAGAAATCTCTTGATATTGATATAATACAACTAGAAATTGTACTTGTAGAATACTGTACCTGTAAAAACTTGTTTAAATTAAGTGGTGGGAGTAGGGCTCTGAGACTCACAAATTAGTGAAATACATGTTAGTGTATGTTACATTCTTGGAAAGCCTTTTGCCGGTTCCACATCACTACAGAACATGTTCACCAAAGTGGGTGAGCGGAACAGAGTAAAGGGGTATCTAGTTGAAGGATCTAGAGAAAAGGAATTTAGTCTCTCTGGTGGTACTTTCTTTTCATGAAACTAGCAAATTCCAATTCTGACTTGATAGATGCTGTGAGAAAACAATACTTAGGGTACCAACAATTATCAATAGGTATAACTGCAATGTTAAACCCAAATTGGGTATGTTGAGGTCTTTACATGTATGTATGTATGTACATATGTATGTATGTACGTATGTATGTACGTACGTATGTATGTATATCTTTTTAATGCAAAAATTCCAAGAAGTTTTGGGGCTCAGTTCCAGCTTGAATTTTCTGTGTTCTAAAACCAAAGTGTATTGTGTTGTCAGCAATAGGGTCTTACCATGTAGTTGTGATAGGCAACCAAGAGCAATGACAATAGCCCATATTGTTTTGAGGGCCTCTAAGGCCTCCCCAACCAGTAACACATAAGGAAGCATCCCACACCCATCACTGAGATGTTCATTTAATAATCCATGTCTTTTGGGAGATGCGTCATCTAACAATGCAGAGTACCTTTGTTCAAACTCCCCTTAAAAAAACTTTTTTTTTTTTAAATTAGCTTACAAAATAGTGGGTTTCCATAAGGGGTTTTCATACATTTTTAGCTTTGGTTAACCCATCTGCATCCTCTTTTTCCTCTGTCTTCCCGATCCCCATCCCCAGTTAAACTTTTAACTGCTAGTATTCCTGCCCCCTGACCTTCCATAGTACATGTGTACTATCTCGTTCCCATTTAAACCCCTTCCCCTCCCCCTCTCATGGGCCCTTTTTAGATTCCTGACCTTTACAGGCATTCCAAGTTAAGCACACAGATCTAGCAATTTGAAGCTGGGATCTATATATGTGAGAGAACATGAGCCATTTGTCTTTCTGGACCTGGGTTGCTTCACTTAGTCCATTTTCCAGGTCTCTCCATTTTCCTGCAAATTTCATTTTTCTTTACAGCTAAATAAAATTCCATTGTGTAAATGTACTACATTTTCATTATCTAGTCATCAGCTGATGGGCATCTAGGTTGATTCTATTTCCTAGTACTGTGTGCAGAAGGGCTAAGGTGGAGCTGTTGGTCTCTGCATAGCCTCAGTGTTCTTGAGGTTCTGGCATGGAAGAAAGGTGGATGTAAATCCTTTCCTGGTGGTTCCCTGGAACCCCTGGACTCTACTATGGTCTTTTCTGGTCCTGCAGGTCAGGTATATGTGAGGAGCAGCACTTCCCTTGAAGTTTTGGTCCTCTCTCCTGAGCAGCTTTATTCTGCAGGTGTTCTGGTGAGTGTGGCCATATTCACTTAGCAAAGCCAGCACTTCTCTGGAGAAAGAGTCCCCTCTTCTGGATGGAGCTAGGAAAGCCATGTCTGAGGATGAGTAAGGCCAGGCTGATTTTCACACACCACTCCTTTCTTGGCTCTTTCTCCTGTTCTTGACCCCTGGGACTCAGTGCTTCATTTTTTCTACTCCCATTAACATTCATCCAGGTTTAAGATTTGAAATCCAATTTTATGTGGATGATTCTCAAATTTAAATCCTTAATTCTTTTCCTTGAAGTCCAGGCTAACAGTGATGAACTACCTACCAGCCGCTCTAAATCAATGTGGCAAGGGATTTCAACAGAACTCAGCATTTTTAACCTTCAGCAAACCTCTCTTATCCCCAGTCTTCCTTTGATAACTGCATTTTTCCTATGGCTCAGTTAAAAAACCTGTGTCATCCTGAATTCTTCTTCTTACATTCTACCTGTATCTAATCCATCAGTAAATCCTATTGACTCTAGCTTCACTGTAAGATGTTTCTTGACTTATGATGGAATTATATCCTGATAAGCTAATCTTAAACTGAAAATATCAAAAGTCAAAAAATGCATTTAATACACTTAACCTTCTGTGATGGCTAATCTTGGTTGTCAACTTGACTGGCTCTGGAATTAACTAAGAGGCAAGGCTCTGGGCACATCTGTGAGATTTTCTTGATCAGATTAATAGAAGTGAGAAGACCCACTTCAAGTGTGCACAGCAGCTTCTGGTGACAGCCCAGATAAAAGAAAGCTGCCTGCTTGCCTCTGCATATCACTGGCAAGCTCGTCTACTCTGTGAGTTTATCTGCTTTGTTGCTGACACTGCTACTGCTGATGTGGCCATCCATTGTGATCATCAATAGATTTTTTTCAGTTTATTATTTATTTAATAACCACATACTTAGAAGAAGCATTTCATTACAACAGCATTGA